AGCTTGCAGTTTGCACAATTCATTTTCTATAAAGACATATGTATTGTCTAAGCTAGATGTCGAGTCAGTTGGATGTTGCTGTAATTGGAATATACTTGTGAATTTAGATGTACAAAGCGTCTCTGATAGAACCTCTAAGGGAATTGGTTTTTGTAGTTGGATGTGTAAAACGTCTCTGACAATTCCCTTGAATTCTAAAGGCACACAAGGTGCTATGAAGAATCGATTATTGTAGTTGGACGTGCAAAGCATCTCCGACAGCACCCTTAAACTTTCAAGGCATGCAAGGTGCTATGGGGATTTGATTACTTTGGTCAGATGTAAAAAGTATCTCTGACAACACCCTTGAACATTAAAGACATGTAACGTGATATGGAGATTTGATTTCTTTGGTCGGGCATTTAAAGCGTCTTCGACAACACCCCTAAATTTTGAAGACGCGTAAGGCGGTGAAGGGATTCAATTGCTTTTGTATAACGTGTAAAGCCTCTATAAAAGTACCCTTGAACTTTAAAGGTGCGGAAGGCGCTTTGAGGATCCGATTGCTTTGGTTGGATGTCAAAGAATCTCCGATAGCACCCCTAGACTTTGAGTCGGGTGTCAACTGCATTGGTTGTACCCCAAATCACTGTTATGTTCATTCGAGTTTGGGTGTCCCGGAGAAGGGACAAGGAAGAAAGCAGAGCAGTAAGAATATAATAGAAGTATATATGTGTATTTTATTTCACTATTTTATCAATAATTTACAAATACATTAATTAAATCTTATGATCGGCCACAAGTGCATATTGATCCCAAGAGTTATTTAATGTATTTGTAAATTATTGATAAAATGTATTTGTAACTGTCGGTAGATCTTTGATGCCCTTTCAGCTTTGTATCATGTAGAACCTCCCAGGTAGTTATACCTAGCATGCCTCGTTAGTCATGATCCATCCTAATTCTTGATTTACACCTCGGTCGCACTCCCAGTTTTCCATTGGGAACAATGTTGGGGTGTTGGTGACTTTTCCCCATCGATGGAGGGCCATGTTGCCCGTACTCACTCCACTGGCGGGATATTTGGGCGACCGTATGACCTCCCGAGTTACCCCATATTTGGGGATGCCTATCATATTGTATCTTCTTTATCATTCCACAGTCTCAGACCCTTAGTGACTGTTTGGGACTAGGTTCTTGTTGTTACAATAATGAGACATTCTACGTAAGGTTTTTACGATGATGAGACATTTGGCACGAGGCTTTTACAATGATGAAACATCCGACGTGGGCCAGATATGAGATAATTTGAGTGGAGGTGGTTCTAGAATGCTACTCAGTTGATCGATTTTTCCTTCGTGAATCTAAATTTGAATATGGATTTGAGGGGATTTATTAACCAACTTTACCAAGGGTTTGAGATTGGGACTTCTGGTTAGTCGGAATGCTGTAGAATTGGATCCCGACCTAAGGATTTTTGTTGGCGTTATATCTCAGTGGAGAAAGGTCGAGATGAGCGATCAATTAGATTTAGATCAAAATTTGGCAGACTCCGCCGCCACAGAGTCGAGACCTTAACTTCGAGGAACATCAACTCTTTTGTCAAAGTAACTTTCAAATGCAGATCTGAAAATCAAACTTGACCTTATAGAAATGAAATAAATCGGAATTCGATTCCTAAAATAGGCATCAATGTTACGTTGCGGAACCAGAAATGGAGATGATTGCGGAAGCTACAGCAGAGCGAAGCTTCCTGAGTTTATTCAAAGATACGGTACCTTAGATAAGAGGTTGCAACCACAATGATTCTTGGATTGGAGGTATTTATCTTGAATCCACGTTTTTAATTGATATCCATCTTGAATCAGCGTTGCTATTCTTTGATACGAAAGATCAAAGGGGGATACCTACATGGTTAGCACTTCAACGCCCAAGTCAGTTTGGGGTTCAAGATAATTGTAGTGAGAGTGAATATTAGAGATTGTGTACCAGAGAACCATTTTTGAAGACTTTTTTACCTTGGGTTTAATGGAGCCGATTGTATAAGTGGACCTCGTGTTATTTAGCCTTTGGCCGATGCGAAACAGTGTGTCATTGGACCTTTGGTTAGCACGAATTACCTTGGACTTGTAGCTGGAATGAGAGGGTTTGGGCAAAAGAAATTATTTATGATTAAGGGCTTAAGAATGGTGATTTGAAAGGAAAATGTTTGGGAAAAGGATTACGATTTGGGATTTGAAATTTCAAATCATGCAGGATTGAAAGGAAAGTTTATGGTACAAATTATATGGGACTAAGGGTTTTCAGATCGTGAAATTGGAAAATTTTGGAACTCATAATAGAAAAAGAAAAAAGGCACCTTTTATGAAAATTATTTACTCTTGTGATGATGATTGATAGGTAACTGTCGCATGCCCTAATTCCATTGAGCATGATGGTTATTCTAAATCAAGGGGTGGTTGTAAAATTATCGCAGACACATCGGACCAATTCAATAATGGAATTTAAAGGTTAATCGTTGCATCAATAATATGTGTTTGTTCCAAATTAATGAGGTTGTTAGAAAAAATTATCGTGAGAGCAACCACAATGCTTAAGTGATGGCGATTTCAATAGAATTGTCGCATGTTAAGTGTCACAAAACAAAAAATTTCTTGTAGTGACTTTCTCAAACCCCTATGATAAGTTTGTCCTCTTCCTTCCTTATAGTTAAAATAAGTGATTTTTAAAAGCTTTACATCCAATGATTTTTGTTTAACTTATCCTTGCCATCTGATTCGCCGTAGATTAGAGAGATAATAAACTAAGAAGATGGTTTTAAGGCCGATGAGCATCTGATGACTTCCATAGACGGATTAGTCCTTATCGGCTTCATTTGAGTGAGATTATTATAGAGATCTATGAATTTTGGATCTATAAGGATCTGATTACGGGAATTCATGAGAAGTGATTCCAAAAGGTAGCACGTTGCCAAACTATAATAATGAGGCCATAAAGATAGTGTCCAATGGGTTTGTATTATGTCAGAGTGCATGCATGTCATAATGATTTCATATTATAAATGAAAGATTATGAAAAATTGAATGAGTTCCCGAAGTGTGGGGAGTCTTGCTACAAGTTGAAGGGAAATAGTGCTTATAATGATGATGGTGTAAACAGAAAAGGTCATCCTACCAAAGTGATGTGGTACCTACCATTAATTTCAAGGTTTAAGAGATTATTTTCTAATGTAAATGACACAAAGAATATTAGATGGAATGCATATGAAAGAATATGTGATCAAAATTTTTTCCATGTAACTAATTCTTTGTAGTGGAAGAAAATTGATTCGTTGTATCAAGATTTTGGCCATGAGCCAAGAAACCTTAAGATTGGAATTTCTAACGATGAAATGAATCCATTTGGTAATCTGTTTAATAACTATATTTCATGGCATGTTCTTCTCGTGATTTATAACTTATCTATCTGGTTGTGCAGGAAGCACAAATATATGATGTTATCTATGATGATTTCAAGTCCAAAACAACCAAGAAATAACATGGATGTTTATCTAATTCCATTGAGTGAAGATTTAAGAGTTTTGTGAGAATAAGTGTAGTGGTGAAAATCGGAGATCAAACTATTAATTAACTTGACTCGCAAATAAGCAAGAGTCGCCACCGCGCTTTATTATTTCCAAGGGAAAAAGGAAAAGAGCGAAATAAAACCCTAAAATATGTAATGTAAAATAATACTTAAAAGTAATGAAAATACAATGTGTTTTTGAAAGAGATCTAAAGTTCGGGGGTTGGTTATGCAAAGGGAAGACACTAGCACCCAATACATCTGCGATACTCCGCATGAACCTTTTGAAATATCTGTTTTTTTGCTTAAAATTGTTTGTTTGGTTAAAAATGGGCGTGGACAAGGTTTTGAAGATACGATGACCTAGTGTCTTAGTTTTGACTTAAAAGGTGTGATTTTTAAAATTGAGTCTTTTAGAAAAATTAACTTAAGTTTAGCCAAATAGTAAAACAAAATGAATGAAGGGATTCACACGATCGTGTAAGATATATTTGATGATATGAAGTCAACAAAGTTAAAATATTTCCCTTGGAATTTAGATAGACGAAAGATATAAAGACTTAAACAGAGTTAATTAGAATGACAGTTGAATAATTAAATAATAAAAAATTAAATAGAAGACTAATTTATACTAGCATGCAATTTTGAATAATTAAATAAACAACAAAAATTAAATAAAAGCATGTATTTAGATAATTATAAACCGTAAAAATTAAATAAAAGCATGTATTTAAATAATTAAAAATAACAAACATTAAATAGAAAATTTATTTATAAAACATGTAAATAAATAACAAAATTTTAAACAAGAGATTAATTTATAACATGTATTTTAAACAATTTAATAAATAACAAAAATTAAATGAAAGATTAATAACATATTTAAAAAAGATTAATTCGTAACAAGCATATTCTTGCTGTATTTTATTATAATAAATTAAACTATATTTATTATTATATGGAGAGATAAGACTAAAAGAATTGGAAAAAATGGAAAAATGTCTGAACTTGTGTTCTCCCAGTTGCTATAAACCTGCCTTTCCATCTGAACTACACTATTTAATTGTTATTATTATTACATTTTACTTAAGATAAAAGTTGAAAATTGATAATTGGGATTGGGCCAAAAGGCCCAATAGACTGACCCGGTTTTGGGAAGAAGTAAAGAAAAGTTTTGTAACCCTAGCATGAGATAGGCACCGCTGGTTGTTGTCTATTGTTAACATTGGGAAGAGAAACAAACAGAACATTATTATTGTTAGTTCCAACAAAAACAATTAGAAAGAAAAAGTTGAAACAAAATAAGACAGTCCCCTCTCTCACGAATTAAGGCCATCACTTCCTACAACTCTACTCCAGCTTCTGCTTCATCGTTAAAATCATCCCCTTCATGTTTATGGCCATTCTACTGAGACACGCCATCCTTATTGTCACTAACAACAAACTTTTTCTTTTTGATGTCATGTACTTTGATAAAACACTTTGGAATTAACAACAAATACAACAAGCAAAGAGATGCTCATAGGAGAAGCAGAGAAACGGGAGGACGAACAACGGATATGATGATGTTCCGGTGGTTGGACGAAATTGGTGGTAGTCCGATGAAGATGGTACCGGCGGTGTGGAGAATGAAGGGCGAAGGCATTTCTTGGTGTATGAAGGGTGTTGGAGGTGCGATAAGATTTAGGATTTCGAAGGAGATGAAGTTGTTGCCGCCATTGTAACCGGCACGGAGAGGAAAAGTAGAACCGGTGGTGAAAATTTGTTTGGATTGAAGGTTGAAGCATGAAGAAACGAAATTGTAGAGAAATCGAATCAGTGATGATGCTAGAAGGCGGAGAGTTATGGTGAGTTTCCGATGATGCTTGCACGGATGCGAGAGTGATAATTTTGCGGAGTTTAACAGAATCGGTGGGGTTTGACAGTGTTGAATGGATTATAAAGATCAGCTCCGCTTGTGCAACCAGGACCAGGATATTCACCATCCATCGGCAAACCAACATCACTGAGAATGGACTTGGAAATTATTCCAGATTTACATTTGTTATTCATTGAAGCAGTTGAAACATTTACTGAATATAGCGATCCAGCTCTAGTAGGTGCTCCAATTAGGTTCGCACTTGAAAGCAAAATAGGAAGGTTGAGTTGTGAAAGACTCTGAACATCTTCAATGACAATTCGATTAACACCATGTTCCATAGGGCACATGTCCCCTCTAAGGCAAAATCTGCATTCCTCAAAATCTCAGCATCATTGACGGGGACGTGTTGGATAAATCGGACGGAGGGAGAACCCGATTGCGGCGAGAGATGGCAAGGAGTGTGGCTGAGGATTTTTGTGGTTTTTTCAGGGGATTGCAGAAAGAGTTTGGAACAAAGGATTTTGTGTGAGTTTCCTATCTTATTTTCTATGATGTTTTCCCCTCCAAACCAAACGATTTCTCAATTTTCATCTCAAAATTCCTACTCTATTTTCTATCATTTGAAAACAGCAACAATGATTTTCATTTTTCAGGTTCACTCGGCTTAATATCATCACAATTTCATAGTTTCACAGTTACAACAACAACAAGATAAGTAATAATTATAACATCAATCAACAACAACAAATTTGAGCGGTAGACAACAACAACAGGGCAAGGTAGTAAATAGAGTGGTACATAAAGAAAAAAAAGACTCACATGGTCGGAGCTAGTCCGACGAGTTCTCGTTTATGGAAAACTTCGATAGGTAAACTTGAATTTCCCCCCTTTTCCTTCTGAGGTCCACAAAAACTTATTGTCGGTTGTTATGGTTTTGTAGATGAATATGCATACTGGCTGCAAAATCTGTGTTGTGATGTGCTTCTGAGTTGTTGCAAGGTTTAACAGAGCATTGTGGAAGGTTGATCTTGGCACTTAGAGTTTGGTATGAAGATCAATGAATGGTATAGAAGAAGATGTTTGGCCATGATGGAAATGGTGAGTATTGTTTTGAGTTTTGGAGAAGATCGAACAAATATTAATGCAGAATTTTCTCTATTTTTTTTATCTTTCCCCCTTTATTCTATGTATTGCTGTCTTTGTATAGTGAATCAGAATGAATTTTGGGGGGGAAATTGGTGAGTCTTGGACTAATGTGGTATTCTGATTTTTTACTTTCTGATGCAGGATTTGTGTTGCTTATTTGGTGCAAATTATTTGGAATGGTATGCAGGTTTGGACAACAAGGAATAGGCATTGTTTCTCATATTGCAGCAGGTTTTTTTTGTAGGCTTATGGACTGCATTTTGACTGTTTTATTTTGACTGTTTGTGACAGCAAATGTGCAGTCTTTTGGCAGCATTGCAGCAACATGGTTTTTGTTATTTTGTGGGCTGCATTTTGACTGTTTTTGTAGGTCTACAACAACTGGTTTTGAACAACAAAGATATGGGCAATACAACATGCTGTATGCAGGTTTTTGGACTGACCTGTTTGGACTAATATGCAGGGTTGTTTCTAGTTTGGGAGAGCAGTATGGTGGAGCAGAATTGTAGCAGTTTTTGGACTGAATTGTTTGGACTATTTGTTTGTTTTGTTGCTGCAGGTTATGTAAAGGCAACAACATGTTTTTTGAGGTTTGAGGCAGCAATATACATGACGTTGGTTTGGCATATGGTGCAAGACTTTTGACACAAGTGATTTTGAAGATTTGAAACAAAGTGTTTAGGCCTTTAGTATAGGATTAGAATTTAGGATTTGGTTCCATGTTCTTGTAACAAACTTTGAAATGTATCTTGAAATTGTTCCTTTGTAACATAAATTGATGGAACCTGAAGTTTGTTTTAAAACTTGGATGATGACCATTGAATTAGAATTGAACCTTTGAGTTTTGAGTAAATTCTTTCGGATATGAAATACTTGATACAAACCACTTATTGAAAAGAACCTTGAATTTGAAACGCTGATGAATTGAATGATATATGATTCAAAATTGTCCACATGAATGAAGTTTGATTTTGAAAGCGGATATTTCAATTGTGATTAGCTTGAAAATCTTAAAATGATGAATGCAGTTGACACTTTGAATCAATTTTAAACTAAAGTCATTTCTCGAGTGAACCTTCAGATAATCTCCGATGAGACCCTAATTAAAACCTTCAATTCAATGGTAACTTGAGATACAAGCGCAAAGTACTTGAAAGAACAAATAGTTCCTTAAGAACATTGGTCAAAAATCCACTCTAATCCAATAATCACCAGTGCTTCAAACACCAATGACTTGAATTAATCAACAAACGATCCAAGAATCCCCGCACTGAACATTTTGTACCATGAACGATCTCAACATAAAAACAAATGTCTTGAGGAAACAATTAGGGCATGAACTGAATTTAGGAGTTAAGAACATTCCAAATCAAAATGTGACCTATAATGTTCCAACAAATACTATAGCCTTTAAAGCATAATTTGATTATGATATTTGATGAGAACTTGTAGATGACATCGCTTATAACAATGTGCAAAAAGAATCGTCTCGAAATGTTGAAATTTGAGGAAGTTATGATCGTTTGAACTTGAATGTGCAAACGTTGACTTTTGGTCAAAGTGCTTTGAATTGAGTTACAAACTTGATCTTTCTTCGCATTCCAAAGCATCTTGATGCACATGTGAACCAGTGATGATGAAATCTTATTTGTGCTCTGAGGAAGTTGTAGAGAAGCTTGAGACCACTTGTTGAACATAGCATGGAAATAAACACACGATTCCCCTGATGAATCAGTATTCAAGAATCAACGATCAACTGTACTTCTGGCTTGAGAGATTCCAAACCCTAATCGAGGCATGATGCCTGATGCTCTTGATTCAGATCTGTTTCTTGTAAATGAAATCAAAGAAACGAAAAACATACACTTCGTGCTTGATTAGAAGTTAGTGATACATAGGCTAAGAATGTTCAAAATACTTAACAATTTCTGCATAGTCAATGCTCGAAGGTGAGAGGTTAAAACCAACCGTATTTTGTGACCTTGACTTCTGTATAAAAATGCAAAAATAAAAATGGGATCTTAGGTCAAAAATTGGGATATGACAATAAGGCGTTGATGTTGATGATGATTATTTTGGTAAAAAAATTTAAGATGTGTGCCATGGTATTTTGCATAATTAATAACTTCCATGCAAACCATAATTTGTATGAGTACAAAGTTAAGGGGCATAACAGTGTGTCCTATATTAAGGCTGATAAATGCTTCCACCAACTAAAGAATGAAAAAAAGGCTATTTACATTGGGCACATAAAATTTCTAAGACGTAATCAACCATATCATAGATTGTAGAAGGATTTTGACGTGTGTGATAGTTTTATTGGAAACTTATCAACATTCAAGGCAAGACAGAAGTTGGTAAGAATACTTGTCTAGATATGACAAGAGTTATCTCCAAAATAAATAGGTAAAAGAACATATTTTCGCTAGCATGTCACACTCTGTGTAGAAAAGAAAAAAAAAAGTTTTTGCGAGTGTTTGCAAGATATCAAATTTTCCCAAGGGTACTCATTAAATATCAAGAATTTTGTATTGATGAAAGATCTCAAATTAATTATTTTAAAATCTCATGATTGTTATGTCTTAATGCAACAACTTCTACCAATGGCTATCCGTGGCATCTTGGATAAAAAATGTAAGGGAAACTATAACTAGATTGAGTTTATTATTCAATGATATGTGTAGTATAGTCATTAATATAGAAAATTTAGATGAGTTGGAACATGAGGCTACAATTATCTTGTGCCAATTAGAGGTGTATTTTCATTTGTCATTTTTGACATTATGGTTCACTTAACTGTTCATCTAGTGAGGTAGGTTAGATTTTATGATCCAACTTATTTAAGATGGATGCATCCAGTAAAGCAATACATAAAAATATTTAAAGGGTACAATAAAAATCATCACTTTCCAGAAGCTTGTGTCGTGGAAAGGTACATAAAAAGGACGCTATTGAGTTTTGTTCTAACTATTTGTCAAGAAAAAACTCTATAGAAATTCCCAAGTCTCGTCATGATGGAAGATATGAAGGTAGAGACACTCAAGATTTAAATGTTAATCAATGCCTCGGGGTGTAATTCTTTAAGAACATTTGTATATATTAAATAGAATTGATGAAATTCAACCATACTTATCCGTTTCCAAAAGACTTATCAAGGAAAAATTCCACCAGATGAGTCACAATGATTGTTGATAGAGCATAAAAGGAGTTTCATAAAGTGCATCTGAGACAATTAAGTGGATGTAATATATGCCTACATTTTAATATGATAATTTAGAGTGCATACGATATTTGTAATTTTTCATTCTATACAAATTCAAAGGATGATCTCAGTATCATGAAATATATTGGGGTTATTGTTAATGCTAAATCCATGTTCTTCTATAGTTCTTAAGATAAGAATCCTGCAATGCCATTTAGACCATACTTTAGGGTTATTTAAGAGATTTTGGAGATTGATCAATGTTATAATTAAAGTGTCTTTATTTAAATGGAAGTGGATTTTGGGTAATACTGGTGTATAAGAAACTTATTTGAACGAACGTTTCATCATGCATGGAATCTCAAGAAAAATAAGTATTTTATGTCACTGATCATTCTAACAATAAATGATCAATTGTTTTATAAGGAAAACACATTCTTGTTAGTAATGAAAATAAAGATTTAACTCTTAATATTTCTGAGACATCTCTTTCGCAACACACATGCGTACCTTGTAACGCCCTAGTTTGGAGTTACTATATTATTTGATTTATAATGATTTTTGTGTATTTATTTAATTATTGAGTAATAAGGATTAAATAAATATGGGTGATGGGGGTGTGTGACATAAAGGTGGGAGTGTGGAGAGTAATTAGAGACTAATGTAGTTTGATTAAAATTATTATAGTTTATTTTCATAATTAAAATAATAGTGTTCTATTAGAATTATTTGATTTAATGAAAAAATTGAGATAGTTAGTAGAACATTTGAATATTAAATTGAATATTAAAATAAAATAGAAATTTAAGGAAATGGAAAAGATAGAGATTATGTGAGTAAGTGAGAATATAATAAGGAAAGTAAAATTAGGGATTTTTGTTATTATAAAAATAAGAGTTCAGAAAATTAGGGAGTTTTAATCAATACGTAAAAAGAGAAGAAAAGAGAACAAGAGGAGAGTTAGGACTTTGGAGGAGAGATCACATAGAGGTTGCTTATTGCTTTTTCTGGATTTACAAAGTAAGGGGGAAATTATTCATCTAAAAATTCCTAAATCATATGAAAGGGTAGAGAGGTTTCCCTTAACCTTCAATAGGGTTGTCTTTGTTCTTGTGGATTGATGGAATTCTGTTTTTTGTATGTCATGAATTAGTGTTGTTGTTATGATGTTTGTTGTGGTTAAATTTGTGTAAGTTAATATGAAATTAATTATGTTACGACATGAGTATGAGTTTCCACCATTGTTGAGTCTAAAGTTTTGTGATGATGAATGTGAGAGTAATTATTTTGATATATTGTTGGTAGGGCTAATTGGTAAAATTAAGATGTTAGCTGATGAAAATATGATGAGATTATGGTAGAAATTGACCTATAATAATAGATTTTTGATTAAGCTATTTGGACATGTTAGGGAATGTTTGGGATAGGCCTAAGTTGAAAAAAAATGAGCTTGGAAGTGAAATTCCCGTGAAAAATTAGTAGAAAAATGCTACATACGAAATTGATTCGAACCATGGCTTGTACACTGGGAATTTGATTTGAATCATGGCCTTCTGGGATCGCCTGCCCGATTTAATTTGAATCACAATTTATACTTGATTCGAATAAGAAAGATAAATTTTGTTCAAAATATTGTTTTTATCATAACTTGAGATTCGTGACTCTGTTTGAGACGTGGTTTGAAGCGTTGAGTAACTGACGTGAAATACTATCTTATTATTATTATTATTATTATTATTATTATTATTATTATTATTATTATTATTATTATTATTATTATTATTATTATTATTATTATTATTATTATTATTATTATTATTATTATTATTATTATTATTATTATTATTATTATTTTGAGGTCTTATATGTATTTGAAAACATGAATATTATGTTACTTATGATATATTTTGAAGGATGGTTGTTGAATAATTATATGATTATAGCTTATGGTTGCTAGTCGTATGAGTTATGTGTTTGGTGAATAATTAGGTGATGAGTAATTTAATTAATATATGATTAAATGTTTAATTATAATCATATGTGAGTTATATGCAAATTATGATTGTTTTTGAATCTTGGAGATGTTATACTGTTAAATATGTGCATATTAATTATTGTAATGATATTGTTGGTGATGTTGCGAATGTATGCTCAAGGGGATAATTATGGTGATGTTGGTGATATCGTCATCGTCGTTGTCGCTGTCGTTATCACTGTCGCTGTCGATGTCGCTGTCGTTGTCATTGTCATTGTCGTTGTTGTTGTTGTTGTCGTCGTCGTTGTTGTTGTTGTTGTTGTTGTTGTTGT